AACATTTAGTAAGTTGTTAGCACCACAGCATCAGCTGACTTAAGATTCAACTCCAATGAGCTTTAACACAAAACCTTATAATCTGTTTTTCAAAACACCCCAAGAATATTGAATTAAAGGTCTTTATTCTTAGTCAGGTTTTGAGCAACTAGGAATCAATTTTATCAGGACAACAGCATGGGATGTACTTTTACAGTAATATCAGCTTCTTGTCCTGACCTTGTATGCATTGCTGAGCCCAAATTTCTCACCAAAACCATTATTCCTTTCTCCAAGAACCAGACTGATGATGCTACATGTGTTACAAGTCACTAATGCAATACAGTTTGGGGTTTTTTTAATTACTCTTTCAACTTTCTATTCTGATTTTAATCTCAGAAAGCTGAGAAACCTACTGTGCGATACCAGGACTTTGACTCTGCAAGGTTCTGAACATCCTCCTGAGACATGCTGTTGACTCCCATCAGAGTTTATGAAAGTGTTTGATCAGCTTTGGTATTTCTGCTATACTTATACTATAAGAAGTATAGCAGACCATGGGGTACCTTCACACTGAAATTTTCCAGTGTGAAGTTGCACTATGTTGGACACATCTACAGAGAGTTCAAATCGGGCATTCTAGAGTAAATATCCCAGCAGCACTTTAAAATGTCTGTTTCAGTATGTGGGAATCTCCAAGAGGAATTCCTAAGCCTCAAGTATGGTAATTGAAATTACTTGGTTATATGAAATTGTTTCCAGGATAATTCATGTTAGTGATGAGTCCCAGTTAATACTAACTGTAAATGTTTATTTTACTTATCGGACTTCTTGAAATATATTGATATCTCTCTTCTAAATATATACCACTGCTCACAGGTGAAAGAATATTAAAAGTTTCACAATATCATAGAGCCCACACTGTTTAGTTTTAAGTAGTTTTGTTTTAGCGTATTTGGTGCTTAACATCCCAACTATATTGCAACCCATAAACCTTCACTACTTCTTCTGCAGTGGTTTTTCCCTAACTAAATGACTTACCAGAATTAGCTTCCTAAAAGGTCAAGTTGAACAAGCAGGCTATCCAGCAGTTGCCCTGGTACATGTTAACTGGTTGAGATGGAAAGCAGTGCTGAGAACTTTCCGACATCTCAATTTAAACACAGTAAATAATATGTGTACTTTATGTCTCAGTTCATTTGAGACTCCTCTCCTCTCAGTCCTGGGCATGATGATATGCATAGACTGTACCTCAGATTGAATTTACAGGAAAATCTTGGAATAAACAGAAAAGCCACATGGCAGTAAAGGGGAACAAAGAAGCAATAGCAAGGAAAAGACTGATGGCAAACATTGTGAAAGAGCCTGCACCCTGCATAATGGTACTATTCATATATATAAATCACGTGCTTATGTGTTTTTCTGGATCTGGGCCTAACTGCACAACTGGATTTCTTTCAAGTGACAAGCACAAGAAAAAGCAGAACACAAACATAGATTCTTCTGGTGGAGGGTGTAGTTCACAAATTAGAAAGTCAAGGACTGTAGAGGAAAGCTGCAAAAGACCTGGAAAAGAGAAGAGAGCAGGATATGATTTTGCACTGTGGTGTTGCAGTGTTAGTATTTAAAACTGAAGATGTTCATTTGGTGAGTTTGAAGGTTCATATTCCACCTCCCATTAATCTTTAGTTGTATTTTAAGAGAATGGGACCGGATGTGGACTGAAATCCTTCTGAGGTAAAGAGCAAAGCTTTACTTTGGTCTCTGAGGAGGTTGCCTACTGTTTTAGTGCAGAGTAGGGTTTTGAAAGCTTTTGTAAGAGTGCATTATGAAACCCTGAATTGGTATTGGATGGTGACTGTGAAAGATATTAAGGGTGTGGTAACAGATGGGTGAATATCCTGAGTGCTGTGCTGTGTAAAACTAAAGTGCAGGTAGGTCACAGCAGATTCCCTTCAGATCTGACCAGTGTTATATGCAGAAGAGAGAATACAGCTTGTTCATCTGTCAGATCAGAGATCCTGCTGTCATGCTTAATCTGTTCTTTTGTCAGAAAGCCAGTTGGCAGTCTAAACTCTGAGCCGTATATATTCTTATTTTTAATGTTTGTATGTTGCATAATAAAAGTATGAGAGGTGTGGAAATAAAATTGCAGCTTGGTCAGCTTCATTTTGAAGCAGATCATTCATTTGAGTGGAAAATTAGTGGCTATTCTACACTCTGTTTTCCTCTACATAGATACACCCAGAAATAGAAAAAGGTTTTATTAATAGATGATGGTACATTAATGTCATCTAAAGATAGTTAAACAGGAAGCTAATTGGATTAATGTATAAAATACAATATTTCAGTCGAACAGATCTCACAAATGTGACGCTGTGCCTTATCTAATGGATGTGAAATCTCACATGAGATTAGAGAACACAGTGCCTTGTGATGCAGAATCTTCCTTTCCTGCCCCAACCACACAGCCATAATCATAAGTATTCATGACAAAAATCAGTGATCTTAGTTTTCCTGACGGCTTTTGTTCACTGTTCCTAGGAACTGTTTTCTGTGTTTTCTCAAGAGGGTATTTAGAATTTAAGCTCCCTCTCTCTACTTGTTTATTATGTACAGGGCTGTTCATTTGCCAAGTGACCATGGCGCCAAGTTCCAGCTTGGCATTTGTGGAACATTTTCCTTTCAGTCCCTTGAGAATACATGCTTTGGCCTTTCCAAAACCAGCAAATTCTCAACACTCTAATGAAGTGGTGTGGTCTAGGCTGAAGTGGACAGAAAAGTTACCAGCATCTGTCTCAGATTTGTGGCTGCAACACAACACAAATTATAGAGTTATTAATGATAGCTTTTGAAAGAAAAAAATGAAGGGAGCCTTTTCTTTTTTGATTCTATATTTGAATAAAATATCTCTAATTGCATGGGTAGAGCATTAAAGTCTTTTAGTACATATTATATCTTATTGCAGACTGTTAAAAGAAAAATAAAAACAAACCCACACTATGCAGCAGGAGGCCAGACTTGTAAAAGATTGTGTAATTCTGCTCCAGTAAAATTGGCCTTTTACAATCCATTATGTGGTAAGTCAATATAAAACCAACAGACCTCATTTACAAACTGGGAATCCCTAGCATAGTCACTTTCCAAACAGGGTACCTGATCAAAAGCATTTCCTATCAATTCTGCTGCTTAGCAGTTCCTTAAAACCTTTTATTCTGCTACCTGTAGGCAAGCTAAGAGCAAACACCATCATTGAGAAAATACTGATTTTTGTAGGATATCATATGTTTGTTCTACAAATAGCAAATAGACACAGAATACAGTTTATGTCATGGTGAGAAGAAAATGTTTTGATTAAGTCTGGAATCTGTATTCTCTTAACCCTTCAGTGCTCAATTTTTACAGTTTAAAGGAAGTAATGTGATACTCTTCTTTAAAACACAGCAACAGATCATGTTGTTCTTTGTTAAATCTGGCCACCATTCTTCCATTAAAAAATGAGAAGATGAATAAGCATACAGGGCTTAACCAGACAAAGACTTTAAATCTATTAATTCATCTTGATGTGCCTAGCTTCTGCACATCCTCCTTTGGAACAGAATAGTTAGTCTGTTAGGCCTCTGAGGACTAGCTTTTTACATGTGTGCTGGTGAGTGAATCCCATGCCTTCTTGTAAATGAGTAATAGGGAGAGACGGGGCAAGAAGAACCACAACAAATCTCTGTTAGGATTAGACAGCCTTGTAGCTGCTCAGTAAGAAGTGAAAACTGGTTGGTCAGAGCCTGAATAGGAAGGACAAGGAGCTGTTGCTGAGCTGCTGATGAGAGAATCTTTGGAATAGAGGGGGTAGGGGCAGGGAGCTGATTTTGCTGGAGGTGTTCTTCGGTAGTAAGCATGGGACTGTCATCTTAATTCAATGTCAACTGGACTGTCCCAGTCTGCGTCCAGCTCACTTCGGCCCATCTGTTCTCATCTGCACCTGGCTTATCCAGATTCACAGCATCACATCCCTTCTCCTCTTGAGTGCTGGCAGGACTCTGGAAGAGTCTTTATCTGGTACAGTACAAAGGCAAACTCATATCTGCCAGTACAGCTGAGCTGCTCATTCTTCTGTGCAACACACGGGGTCTTTCAGCAGTTGCCTCACTGAAGAGCCCATGTTTAGTCCTTTAGTTCCCTTGAGGAACTAGGAGATAGTGCTACAGCAGATAAAGAAGGTGGGGGTACTTTAGCCACAATACCAAGCCAAAAGGAAAGAATGGGGTTCTCATGCAAGGGTCTGACTCCACCACCCCAACACAAAGTCTTTGGTGAGGATCCCAGTGCCCTTCTCTAGTCCAGAAACAGGCTTGAGTTTCAGATGCATCACAATCACCTGAGCAGTTTGGTGACTGCATCTTACAACACCATCCATAGTCTCCTGGATATTGCTAATTTATGTGATACAGAATAATGTTTGCCTCCTTACAGTATCACAGATTACCCTGAGAAGTGTCTTTAGCGACTGTCTGACAGCTGACAGCTGCCTGTTGGGACCTGATGGGCTTCCATACTCCAGTGACCTCCTCTCTGGAGGTGACCTCTTGGGTGATAGTTTAGTTCCTGCATCAATTTTACAAGCAAGATCCCCAATAATTACCTAGGTGTTTGGGGTTTTTTTCCTGAAAAGTGTGTGAAATATTAAGTACTTCAGAGGCTTTCAGTCCCTGCTTCCCTGCTGAGAAGAGATGGATTTTTTCTGGAGTTTTTTTCTGTAATTGGTGTAGAGTAGGAACATAGTTCTCAGTGGTATTGTATCATATAGCATTTGGCTAATGCTTTGGGGCTATTTCTGGTAACTGCAACAGGAATTACAGTGTCAGGATAAGTCTATTATATGTTCTAATAAAATAACTAGTAGTCTGATGCTGTCAACGTGAATAACAGAGATTTGCAGACTTTCACCTCATTTGTGACGCATATATTAAAGAATGAGCTCAGTGCTTAACAGAGATTACACAGGGATTATGAAATGTAGAAACTGTAGTTGCAAAAAGCAGTTTTATTCAACAGCAGGTTACTGTCATTATAGTGCATGCTTGTGAAAAACTGGAGTTTCTACTCAAAACCAGACTCCATTAGCATGTAAATATTAGCCTATATAGAACTACAGCATTATCAGTTAAAAAAAGTGGAAAACCATTTATCAATTAATTTGAAATTCATATAATTTACAAAGTTTCATGAAGCTGTCTGCAGTCTCTTCAGAGATACCTCTTTTATAGAGGCCCCTGCACTTGGTAAACTATCCAGTGAATAAGATAAACCAATCTAGATAATGAATAGCTGATGTATAGACAGTGTAAATGTGCTATTCCATCCACGATGGAAAAAAGAAACGTGTTATTTAAAGCAGAGATGTATCAAATGAATAAACAAAAGAACATAATATACTCATAAACACACATATGAACGAGGACATTTATTTTACTTGTCTCTTAGAACTCATGTCTTTACCTGTTCTGTTGATGCTGTTCTGCAAAAATCTGCTGCAGTCTATTGATTAGTTCATCCTGCACCAACCTGTGAGCTGTACATCTGCATAAGTAAAACTGAAGTATATAGGTGCATGTGAGTAATCCTGCCCCAAAACAGGGAGCTGAAAAAACATTAGGGTCCTCTGATTTATTTTAAAATGTGAAGACTTTCAGGGCAAACAAAACAAGATCCAAGCAATAAAACAAAACACAAAATAAGGTATTGGAATGGGAAAGGAATCAAGAAGATAAATCTTCAATAGAATATTGATTTTTATTCACAAAAAAAAAAAAGAGATCACCCAGGGTAGAGAATATTTAACCAAGAAGACAGCAGAAAAGAAATGCACTTCCACCAATCCCATAAAGAAGCTGCAGTCATCTAAGCAGAACTTTAAAAAGGACTAAAAATATCTTCCTGATAAAACATATCCTGAGACAAGGACTCGAAATATGTGTCATAGTTTTGTGATAATTTGCTTTGACGTTGGGAGTTAAAATTTTGTTTTTAGGAATCTCCTTTTGCTTCACTTGAGTATGTTTATGGCTAAACAAGTTAAAGTTTAGTATACTTTGAAGATGAATCACCTCTGGATGTTTTGAGTGAGGAAAAAAATTTTTCATTTTGATTTTCTCAAGTTTACTCTGCACACATTAGAGAGCAGGGTAACAAAGGGAGTGTCTTTTTCTTGATAATATTTTTTTTTTTTGAATCATGTTTTCTGCCTAAGGTAGTGTTCACCTGAAGGAAGGAATTAAATGATATCCAAACAGCTCAGGAGCTGTCTGTCAGTCAGAGCTAATCTTGAGGCAGAAGCAGTAAGAGGCTTCAGAAAGAGGGAATTAGTGCTGGCATTTATTTTGCTTCTATCTGTTTATCAATTGAGAATGACTGGACCTGAGTCCTTAATGAATATTAGTGGTTTATTGTGTGGATAATCAAAACCTGTGCAAGAGAAATCAAATATATTTCAGAAAGCCCAGATTGTGCATCTTCAGTGTGAGCTCCCAAACTCTGTGGTTCCACAACATGGCAGGGTGACGTTCTATGGTTGACAAGGCTCTTTTTGATAACTCAGGTACTATTGCCAGAGTTATAAGTGGATAAGATGCTTACCCACATAGGAAAGGTCTGGTTAGAGCAGATACAACAGGAATCTGTTCTCAAAATAGAAACTGGAGATAGAATGGCAACATGATTTGATAGGGATGCTGAATTTCTACTCATTCATAAGCAAGACTTTACATGTATTCTCCATGCCATACAAGGCTGGTTGTTAATTTTTGCTCGGTTTTGCCTTGTCTCATTGTGGTATGAAATAGCATCTAATTACATAACTTGAATGTTCTAAGTCTGCCACATTTATCATTTGCTGCCATACATTCTGATTTGGATCAGAAATTGGTACTTTAGCTTCAGTTGGTATTACTGCTTTTGCCCATTTTACAGACTTATACATGGACTCACGAGTCAGCCTTTACTGTAAGAGTAAAATGACTCAGTTTGGGCCTGGGAGCCAGAGAGCTAAATATAGTACATAGCATTAGAGCCTGGTACAGATGGGGGAAAAAAATCCATTTGGGGACTTATGAAAGGTCAGTTTGGAACAGAAGTGCCTGAGGTGCAGGAACACTTGCCCTGACAACTAACTTCACTCTGTTACCATTTGAGAAGTAGCACAGCAGAGCTGCTGGAGACAGAAGAAAGTGCAGGAAGGTAAGACAAGGGAGAGGAAGAAACAGACACAGCAAAGGTCTCAGATGGTTATTCCAAGCACTACTGCAGGATGTGAGCTATCAAATATCCAGTTCTGTGGGAAAGTGGCGTTATGGCACTGGAAATATCTGGGATACTAGCTCTGAGCTGTGCACCACAGCCTGTTTCACTGTGTTCAGGAGCGTAGTTCATTGGGACCAACAGTTTGGTGGTACCCTGCCTTCCCAAACAGTGCTCCGACAAACCTGTTGGAGGAGTTCAGAAAGCTGGAAGGGAGCATCCTGAAAAGGTGTGCTCTACATATATATATAAAAAAAAAAAAAAGGCACAGCATATCAAACCTCTCCAGTTGCAAGACTGGGTCCTGTGCTGAGACAATAAAATAACATATGGCTCTAGCCCAGTGTTCCATTTTTGATCAGTTTGCAACCCCTTCCTTAATGTTCATTGATATTTGTAAATAAATTGTGAATATCTCAGCCCCCTTATCTCAACTGAAACTGTTGAATAAAAATGCTTCTGAAAATATTTTTTAAAATTGGAACACTCTTTTGAACAGCACTTCAATCATGAAATACCTTTCATTTTCATGAAATAGCTATCGTTTTCCTGCTATAGGCTATCTTTTCAGCCTAGAACAGGCAGCTGGCAAGACCAATCTTTCATGTGTGAAAGGGCAAATCCCCCCCCACTCCATCTCTCTCAGTGACCAGCTCTGGCTGCTAGTTGTGTAGCACCAGCAGAGCCAGGAAAAGGTGTTAAGAGTGGAGGTTAAGAGTGGTGTTAAGAGGACTTCAACTGAGTCCTGCTGAAGACTGTTAGGGAGTGATACAGCCCAACTGCTGTGGGACAGGAAACTCATTTCACCCCATCCTTTTAGGGTGGGTGAAGAAATGGAAGCAGGAATGGCAACCCACATTTTTCTTTTGTCCTGGTACTAGGGTGCCTCTGGGAGAAAAGACATTTATTTTCTTGGCCCCAACTCTAAAAACTGCAGCAAGACTTTTTGCAAGGCCCCATGACACAGCTCAGAGAGGAAACAGCATACAAAAGAGTCCTTTGAGTTACATGTGGAAGTGCTGACATGCTTCCAAAGAGAAGACACTACATACATGAGCCATCTAGGCTATTGATAACAGCACTGATTCTACATTCTGAAAATGACATCAGGTCCTTTTGAGAGCTTTATTAAAGCTTCATTTCTAGGTAAATAACTATTTCTCCTGACCAAAGTTTCTGGAACATTAGCAGATGTACAATGAAAGACATTTTTACTTCCATTTGAACTGGAGCCATGGCCTACACTTACTAGCAAACTATCATCTTGTTGAATGTGTACAAACTCAGCATACTCTGTGCAAATTCTTTATTGAAACAATGATCAACGCACAAGCTACATCACATTTCATTTTGCCACTTCAGCATGAATTGGTCTCTTTGTGGTTTACGGCCATGAGCTATAAAATCATAACAGTTATTTAAATCAAAATACAGTAACTGCTTCTCAAAAAAACACATTCATATTTGTCTTACATTTCTTTTAAAATCAAAAAGTATTTCATAATAAATGAAATATAACTTAAGATACTTTAGTGCAAGCATTTCCTTTGCATCTAAGAAGCTTTCAGTTGTCCCACTAAGTATGGCATACTTGAGGCCAACTCTTAAAATAGCATGCTGCCAAAATATTCCATGAGAACTTCTAAAATTCGACACTGTTAACACTTTCCAGAATTAGTTCATCTGACCAAACTGAAAGTCAGAAAGCCCTGGTTATATGTTACAGTACTTTTGTCAAAAGGAAACTGCAAATCAAGGAAGTAACATAGTATATACATTATAATAAAACAGGCACTGATTTAAATAAAAAATCAACATCTGCCCATATATGCCATTTCACAAGTCTCATGATTATACAGTAGTTTTTAAGCACAGGATCAAAACTGCTGTGCTTTACCAAATATCAATAAACCTGCATAAAAATGCTGATCTATGGGTTCTTTTAGATTTTTTAAAATGACAGACTCATAAAATGACTGAAGGGTAGGTTTCATCACAAACACGCTTAAATCAGAGAATAAAAAAGGATACCAGTAAACAAATGCTGCTCAAAAAGAAAATGTTGATCAAGTAGATAGTGAATATTATGTTTAAGTGATCAGATTAATATGGTCTTACATTTACTGAAAAAAGAATAGTAAGTGTAAAATTTAAATCCAACACTGATTTCTTGTACTGCAGAAATCTAGTCATCTTCCGTGAAATTTTGCCAAAAATACTTGAAAATGGTGTAAATATATCATGCAAATCTCTTTTCCTTTCTAAGCCTGACTTGGTGTTCTTTATGCTTTTAGAACACAATTTCAGTTGTACTAGGTCTTCCAGATGCTGAGTTTTTTTAAGAACCATTAGTGTTTGGTGATACAAGAAATAGAGCAATGTAACAAAAGGTGTGCATAGCCCAATGATGGGAACAGATTCATGTCCCTGAAGTGCTTAAGGTGCATGAAAATACTTAACAATGCAAATGTTAATGTTTTCTTAGAGCCTTCATTAATTTTATATTTGTTAATTGTGTTCTTGCACCATAAAATAGCCATTCACTAAGAAATACTGCAAGACACAATTGTTTACTTCATGATAGAGCACAGCCAGAGAGTTTGGAACAAGAAAAATGGGTTTGGGTCTTGCTTTCCATCTGTCTCCCACAAAGGAAGTGCCTCAAAGCATATAAAAAGCTTTAGGCTTAGAGGTGTCACAGAATGGATGCATAAAGATATTGAGCAGCATACATGAAAACACACCAAAAAATACATAAACCAAACCCCTTGGTTACAATCTGTGTTTTCTTCAGCTACAGTGCTGTTCGGCTTTTATTCCAATAATACCACAAAGCTAAATGCCCAAAGAATTTATAGCAGACTGGTTATACCTGTGAACTCTCAGCTTGAAGTGAGTCCAGCTCCAGCAAATTTAGGGTTCCCTTTGACCCTGCAACTGCAGGAATCTGTCACTACACGAATTGCATGGATCTAATCCGGGTGCCTGTTGCTCGTACGTGGTTTGCAATGTGCGTTTGTGGGTACTTCAAATACATGCCCCTTGTGGGCAACCTTTGGAAAAAACCATCATCGGTATCTCCAAGGAAGTTTACATCGAGATACTGAAGAAAACCATGGGGATTGTTTGCTCTCAAATGTTTCTCCAATAAATACATAATAAACAGGCTGAAGGACAGCCTGAGGGAAGCAGTCAGGGTCAGAACTGCCTGGTAACAAACACCATAGGAATACATGATCTTTACTGTAAAAACTTCATAGTTAACAAACAATTAAAATTAAAATACTTCAGTTTAATAAATATTTTTATAACTTTTTTTTTTAAAGTATGCTTTAAGGAGAACATCCTTGCTTATCTGTGCAATCTTAGTTGGGCACCAGGTAGGTAACCTCAGAATGCCTGAGGTCTGTTAAAAGATGGACAGGCAGAAAAATCAAGATGCCTCATTTCAGGAGGTTAAAGTGAATTAAAAGAATTTAGTGCAAATTCCTGCTTTTGTTTCTGCCCTTGTCCTTTTTGATACCCGAAGCAAATTAAGTAACTTGAAAAACTGATTTGAACACTAAACAGAAATGTACTTTGGACTCAAACAAGAAGTTAACAGTTTGCATCAACAGTATTTTCAATCACACTGGTCAGAAGTGAGGTTCTTTATGGTATTCTCTTAATCTACTTTGTGTTCTAGATTTATATTGCTTTGCTGGAACTGAAATATTTCCAGCCACATTCCTAAAGGGACTTCTTGCCCTTGCATGTTTCCTTTAGGGCATGTGCAAATTATTTTGTATAGAAACCTGCCACTGTGGTGAGCACAAACAAATATGAGGCAACTGAATGATGCAATTTTTCAGAAGTTGGTTGTAAAATCTGAAGTCCATTATTAAACATGTAATTTTTTTTTAGTAACCATAGAAAGGTATATATGGAGCCTTCTCTGCATCACCTACATAAGTCATGGGGTATTCCCGTATTACACTGGTAGTGAGGCTCTGCACTTTAACGCGAGGAAGCTGATATAAAACCTCAGTTCATTATCAAGGGTTCTTTTAGATAGCTGCAACACTGACTTTGTCTGGTCTTGATTACCAGTTAATGTAACTGATTGCCTCCAACAGGCACCTTATGTAGATGTGGCTACTTCACTAAAATATCCAGAGAGCCGTCCACACATTGTCTCCCCAGAGACCTAAGAGACTTCTTTTTCTGCAGTATGCTCGATTCTGGATTTATTTTAAGTATCTGTACTTACAGTAAAACCCTTCCAAAAAACTATAGGGTGATAGTTTGTTCATTAGTTCCAAACAAAATGTGTCAGGTAATTAAGTAATATTAACCCTACACAAACTCCTACTGGTAAGAGCTTGCTTTCCAGACTCACTGCAGAGGAGATCCTTTTTATTGTCTGTCTGCAACAGAAATTATCACTTCCCTTCCACTCCTGGCATTTCCTGGCATAAATGTTGATCCTTTTTACTGCCACAATTGCTGTGATCATTAAAGCTTTACTGGGGTAGAGTCACATGTATTCAAGCAGTGAACATTCTATATAGGTAGGAGGTTCTTAAAATATCAAAGCAATTGTATCACAGTAAACAGTTTCCATGACTGTCATTGTAATTTCACAGGACACTCGATTAGGTTTTTTTTTCCAATTTGGATACAACACTCTCAAACTGATGCTTATATATGATTTTAGGCTTGATCCTCACATTATGAATTTGCACAAAATTAAGAATCCCAATAAAAGGGTATTTTGCCATTTGAGCCTTGTCATCAACTGATTACTGTCATTTGCAGGAGTGTTAAGGAATCTGCATATCTTCTGGTAAGGTAGTATATACTTACTCCTTCCAAATTACTTAAAAACAAGACATCTTGCATATTTGCAGGTGTTTGGCATATAAAATTCTGGCAAGGTAAAAAATGGTCAAACGTATGCAAAAAAACCTTGCAGAGCTGTTGGACTGCAACTTTCTGTAAGAAGTTTATGGGCTTTCCCATCTGTAAAATAAACCTCAAAGCTGTTTCTCCATGCAAAACAAACAATTGTTGGCATCTTTGTTCCATGGAAAAGGGAAAACTATTTTCCATGTGCCTAAGTAGTGTGGTCACAAATGAAATGGAAACATTTTAACTTTCTCTAATAGCCCTCTAAATCACAATGTAGCTGAGCAAACAGGCTTTGTAAATGGGATCTATTAGGATTTTATTTGGCTATTGGAGTGCTGCCTCTTGGGCAATATTTCAAATTCACAAGTTAATATTTGCCAAAAATGCAATAGATGGAAATAACGAGAGTGAAGGAGGAAGATGGAAACCAGTTTTATGTTTAGTAAGTTCAAGTGTCCTTTGTCAAAGACTACCAGTGACTTCCAGGAGGCCACTACAGGTGACTCCAACCTAGAAAATGCTGAGGTAAATGTTTCTTGGAAATATTCCTAATCAAAGAGAGCAATTAATATTAATGTAATAGCAATTACTCTGCCATACATCATGGTAAACTAAACTCAAACTGAGAAGAAAGTGCCAAATAATCCACTTACATGCTTTTGCTATGATAGTCTCCAGGTAAGGCTTAGCGGCAAGTACAATATGTATTTTTAAAAGAGCTCCACCTGATTTTCCTGCTATGCATAGATTCAGGAGTAACTATCATACATGGCTTTCATATATAACACATGTATTTGTGTCATTTGCCAATGCTGTGTCATCAGAACTGAGTTCAGCAGAAGGCTCAGGAGGGGGCTCTGCAGTAAGTGCTGGTGTTTGAGGAGTGTCTTCTTCCTTGGTGTCTAACTGCATGCTTTCCTGTGACTGACCATCCATGCAGTCCTTTTTGGACAATGGGTGAACTGACACTTTTATTGCAATCTGTTGAGGTGGCTCGTGCAGTGACGATGCGTCTGAGTCAGCTGTGGGAGAGTCACTGCGCGTCAAAGCATTTGGGATCATGTACAGCTCATCTGTTTCAGTGGTTTCCTGGCCTTCTGCTGCCTGTCGTACAAAATTCTGTCCTTGCTCCTCCAGACCAACAACCTCCATAATTTCTTCCATTATAGTCCTGCAGTTCATGATGAGAGGTGGCAAAGGTACGCTCCGAGCAAGCTCTTCAATGTAGCGAGCAAATTCCATGGTCTTGAACTGGGTTACTTTGGCAAGCTCGAGCGTTTTGGCTGATGTGATAATTGGGATACGCTTCGCAATCTCAAAGGCTTTCTGAAGTTTCTCTGCCCCTTCTGTTCTGAAGAATTCATTGATTGCTTTCTCGGTTTTCTTCAGATGACTGCTCATCATACATAACCGAGTGATGTTCAGTATCATAACGATGGTAAAAGCTACAAGGCAGACAATCATGTAATAGATTCCCATATCTCCAGAGGTAAAAACAACCCTCAGTGTCACAGTATTGTTAACGCTGCCATACGTATTAGATGCGACACACGTGTATTTACCTCTATCTTCAAAAGACACCCTGGTAATGTTTAGTAGCCCGTTGTCAAGAAACCACCATTTTCCTGTCAGAGAGGAGACAGAATAACTTAGTTAGAGGTGTTTTGTTCACATGATCAGCGTAGTCTTCAACATCAGCTTTGTCAAACTGGCTTCAGATTTTGGAAGAAGGAAACAATGTTCACGAAAAGACAAAGAATTTACCATCACAAAGACCTGTCTGTCCCTGAGACCCTAATTGTGCTACTACCAAATCCCTGACATCCACTGTGAATAGTTAGAGCACACCCTAAAAGGGTTTAATAAAAAATGTTAATATGCATGACAGCTATCTCAATCTTACAGTCAGTTAAGTTACAAAGATAGGACTATTTACCCCAGAGAGCCTCCCAAACACAGGTCACTCTTCTTCAAAGAACAGCAACAATGGGATTGTGAGGCAGAAAAACCTAATAAGTCCTCTTTGTTTTGTTCCCTGACAATGCATTTGCTTACAATTGGGCTATTTTTGGTGTTTTCTTACAGTATCTACTATAATTCTGTTAATGTAAACTTTCAAAACCCTAAAATTTCAGACATCATATATTAGACTGCTTACTCTTGGAGGTGTTGAGAATCTGATTTTGAAGTATGATTTTAAAGAAAGGGATAGGAGGACTAAGATAGATGGGAAAGAGAAGAGCCATGATAGGGAACATCCTGTTTGTCAGTATGAACTTCTGTGCACCAGAATGGAATTTCTTTTACTTTTAAAGTCATTTCTATCAGTGTAATATTGATAACTTTGTCCACTGCATGTACACATACGTTTCATATACACATACATTTTCATTTCATATGAATATGTTCATTTGAATATGAACAGTTTAGCTATGAAACTGAGTTTGAAACATGTTAAAATCCATTGCTCCTATCACTGCTAAAGGGATTCAAGATTCAGCTAGTTACTGTATTTGCCATTATATATTGGTAATGAATTAAGATTTTTAGTTAACTTCATTTTTATTCAACTATCACTACACTATTTAAGAGCTGAGGACATATATTTTTTGCTTTATTTGGTGTGATGCGACTTCTTAAATTGTAACATTGCTATAAAAAACACGATTCACTCCAACAGGAAAACCTGGTGTCAGTTCTTTCCTTCATGTAAACCCAGCCCTGACAGAGGTTGATATAAGCCAACTCAACTGTTTTCAATCTCTGTAACACCATCCAAAGACATTCCAGACAGATATCTGCTGAAGGTAGCGATGCCATTTCAATAACCTTCCACAGGAAGGAACCTGTCTACCATCAGGAAGTTGTTTTTCCTTAGACCTAACCTAACCAGCTGCTCTTTAAGTCTATTCAGGCAGCTGAACAAAGACACAGAACCTGCGATCAGAGGACTAAACCAGTGCAGAATCCCTGTGCAGTGCCTGTAAATCACAAGGCAAGGATTACAATCCTGCCACACGTTGGTGTATACCTTGGTTCTACATTTATTTAATCCTTGTCATGGACATTCTTTCATTGTTAAAAAGATTGTTCTAATTTTTTTTAATTTTATTTCTTTCAAGGAAGAAACTGTGGGCAATTCTGAAACTCATTACTCAAAAAAGCCTTTAATTCAGAGTAGTTGTGAGCTCTTACCATGTTCAAAGTTCTTCCAATTAAACATGGCTTATCCAAATCGGGGTTTTTTACATTATCTCCAGTAGAAGCCTATGTAGAAAGTACTCCCACAATGTCCCTGCCTCAGTTCCTGTGTACAGACAGCTCTTAATTACATCTTTTTATCCTCTTAGAAGCTTTAACTAAACTGAAGCACTGTTTTTTACCCTAGCATAGTTCTTGAAAACCATTGAATCACTTTTCCTGAAATTAAAAAACACAGAATAAATAAAAAGCTTTCTAAATTAGACTTTCACACACCAAAAAAAAAAATCACCCCAATCTGCTAAAGTAAGGCAAATTCAGAGGAAAACTCCCTTACAGAGGAAATGTCAGCATCTGTAACATCCTTTTCTCCACCTCTAGAATAAAAAAAAATACAGAGTATTCCTTATCAGTATTTCTTTGAACTGCAATGTTGGTCCTTTTTGCAAAGTAGGTTTTTATTTATTGTGAGATGACAAGATGCCTTGCTGATGTACCCTGGCTCCAGCTGTTATAAATGACATAATGGCATTGAACTGTGACTCAATGACTGGGTCTGTGCCAGTGGATCCTGGCAGACAGTATAAGCCAAATAAGAAAACAATGATCAGAAAAGGTATCATTGCCAGGTTTTGATAACAATTCAATGCCATAATTAACATCATAAAGAAAGGTCTCATGCTAGGAAACATTTCTTACAGAAAAATTACAGTTTCTTAAAGGAGGTAGTGCACTGTTGAAATTCCAAGTTATAAAGGGATGTTGTCTTTTTACTACATCTCCAATATTTATTGATTTGGTCAAAGTTTTTTCTTCACCTACCTAAATGGTTGTTTCAGTAGCTGCCTCTCTCAGTTGACTACGCAATGACCTAAATTTAGATGCTGCACTAAAGGGGAAATTTTCTGTTAGTGAGCCTTAGTAAAACACACCAGCACACTTACCACTGTATGTGGCCACAACTACAAATAATATTCGAAATCTGCTTACTAGCTCAAGTATTTCCTTTCACTGGCTTTACTCAGAAAATTATAACAGGTTATAATGTAAAATATAACCAGTTATGCAGTAAGCTTTAACAGGTACACTCTGCTGTCGCACATTCAGCTGGGTCAATCGTTACTCCCATCATAGCAGAGTTCTCTGTCAGGCCAGCTATTAGTTAGACATGCTATCCTGCATTTAGTGTGAATAGCTAAGTGTTTGTTTCATCATGCTGTGAACAAAGCAGATAGTATGGAAGGATTACATGAGAAAAACACCTTTCATATACCCACACTGCCCTCAAACACTCCCTAGAAGTATAACCAGGATTATCACCCAAACCTTCCATTTTAAGGAAAATAAGCACATGTGTAATTAAGGTCTCCGGCAAATGACAGTGAAGAGTTTTAACTAAAGCCAGGAAGGCTCAGACTTGGCTTGTCCTTCTGACTGTTGCTTTATATAGGTTTTTCACTTGGTCTTTCAGGGCATCTCCTGTTTCTCCCATGGCACTCTGCATAAAGACAGCAGCCATATCAGGGAGTTAGCTGTGTTGAGTGCATGACAACAAACTATTCTGATATGTCATGAGAATCCTCCTTTGAGCTGGAAAATAGCTTTTTAATCTTTTTTTTGGTGCCAGAGAAGAACAAAAGATGACAGAATGAGAAATAGGAACAAACCCGAAGTCTTCCAATGAAAAGAGGCCTATCTGCACCTTAAGTGCTTCAGCTTTTTGCTATGTGTTGCTATAAATAACATATAAAAAAGTTACTGTTTTCTTCCAAGGTGCACATAAAAAATTTATAACTGCCACCGGGCTTTCGTTTATTTTCACACATAGAAATACCACAGCCAGGCCATTAAATTTGGGCTATTTGTCAACTTGCTGAACTCAGAAGTGTCTCCGGACAGGCTGCATCAGTGATATTACTAAGATCTTACCTTTATTCTCCTCGTCTTGGAGCAGGCGACCATTGGAATTGTACCACCTGTAACGTGGACTGGGACTACCTTGGACATTGCAGTCGATCAAGGCACTGCTGCCCTCCTTGACTATAATATGGTCGATGCGGGAGATCACCACAGGCACGGATCCTGTACTTATGTCAGTGCGGTTGAAAGTGCTGTTATTCACATCCTCAGCAGTTGACAAAGCTGCTAATAAGATGACAAGGCGTGTGGTAGGCAGAAAGTACAAAAAGTGGTGGCTGTTCAGTATGTCCATTTTCCTTCAGTGGCGTACACGGCTGCTGGGAGCTGGGATTGGTTCTGTTGAATGCAGGTCCTTGGGATGAGCAGGTCGCAGGGGAGTTCTACTTTGATCTGTGCGATTTTATGTTTAAAATATCCTATTAAATAAATAAATAAGTACAGTGAGATGGCATATATAAACAATCCATTAGATGTGCTCTTTTAAAATAGTGACACATCCACTAATGCATTTCACAATCATCAGCTCAGTGTCTTGTCTAAATGCTAATGTTATCACAGGCCCTTATTCTTACTGGAAAAAGTTGCATATATTTTCCTGACAATAGTGTTGTTCAGAGTGGCAGGCGTGGGAGAAGGCTTTTATCACCTAGACACTTAGCAGCAATTTAGCTACAGCAGCAGCTACAGTTTTATGCCAAAAGTTCAACAGATTTTTCTTTCTTTTTTTTTTTTATTTTTTTTTTTAATTTTTAACATTTGCAAAATCAACAGGAGAAACAAAGGCACAGCACATTAAAGCTGTCACTACCAGCTCAGTGCTGCAACTCTGTCATGTGCATGATCTTAGATCAATTGTGAAACAGTGTAAGAAAGAACTACTCCATGAAAGGTTTTTGGAGCTAATGTTGGAATACTTGATACACATAATTTTGAGCAAACACAATAGCACGTACAGCAAAACATCTCAGATCACTGACTTTTTAAGCTATAGCTTAAAAACATAGCATGGAAGAATATTCTTAGAAAAGGATATTTCATACTTGATAAAGTAATTTCAGTGTAATTTTTAGAGCAGATTTAGAAAGAAGAATACTTGCTAGTGACATAATTATAGGTAAGGTTCCTTTGACATACCAATGAAGTTAGGACTTTTCTGTTCCTTATGTGGCATTAAGCATTTTGCCTGTAGGACTTTTTTCACACTCTCACTACAGTATTTTCCCTCAACTAATCACTGACAATGAGCCCTTTATAAAACAGTGATTTCAGTTTCTGGACAGAGGCAGGGGTGGGGGGTTACAAATGTTCTCTCTATTGGCCTCATTATGCTCCCAGTGAACACAATTGGCATTCAGTGCTGACTGAGGGCAGAATGTTGGCCTCAAAATGAGCACCTTGGAAAATTTCACTCAAGAGTCTTAAAGGCCACAAATGATGTTAAAATCATGTCAGACTATCCAACTACATTGGTTTTACTCAAGTATTTCTAAGGTAAATAAGTGAAACTTGGTGAAACTTATTAAATAGAGGAATCTATTTGGAATACAAATATAGGAAACTATCTAACGAACTTTCCCCAAATGAACATTTCCATTTTGAAACTGTTCAAATTTTTTTAAAGGTATGGTTGACATCATGGTCACTTATCTGCCTTAGCATGACAAATGACTGCTGAGAAGGTTAGGTCAGTTCATATATAAAGGAAACACTAAAATAAAAAGAAACAAACAAGGAAACAATCCCCTTCCCTATTTTATTCTTTATTCAAAAAGGAAAGAAATAAACATTACTGTCTTTCACTGGTAATATTTGACTTAGGTCGTTTTCTTATCCATCCCCTGTTCTCTGTAAAGTTTTTATACAAATAGATACAGCTGTTATTTAAAGAGCAAAATAGTTCTTCCATTTTGCAGGATGAATCATTACTAGAAATGACAAACTATGTTTTTTTAGATAAGCTGCATGCACGGTGTAGATGGCTGTCCCAGCTCTAATCCTGCCCTTGTTTTTATTCTGTTTTTCTATTTATTGAATGTGGAAGTATTTGTCTCGAAGAGACAGAATAATTTTTAACTTTAAATTAATATGCGAATCTCATGTTTCATACAGAGCTATATAAACAATGACTTCAGAAATCCACTTCCAATTATGCAAAGCATGTAGAGCCTGTGCTTTTGAAGATCTGCATAGGTACAGTCTGTCTGAGTCAGCAATCTGGAAAAAAACCCTTCAATTCTGCCTATTCACTTCAGTAACTCTTTACATCTCATTTCTACTACTCCATTAACCTTGGAAACTGCCATTCTTCATGGTTACACATATTAACTCTATAAAATGTTTCTGTACAGCGTTATAGATCTGCATTGCGCAATACAGAAAAGCCAAAATCACACTTCCTGGCAAGGGAACAGGAACAGAGACTGGCTGGATTAATACAATGGAAAGGGCAAAAGAACAACATAAACTGATTAAGATTTGTGTTGCTAATTACTGGCTGTGGCTTGTTATTGCTCTGTTTGAGCCTATTATATTTTTTGATGGCAGAAATATCAGTAGCAATCAGAAAATGGTGTTTAATGTTTCATTTTCAGAAGGAAATGAAATAGCATCTCTCCAATAGGTGAACAGAAAACCTGTAAGGAAGGTTCCACAGTGTACTGAGAAGTTCAAGGCAGCTGTTCAAGGCAGCCAGTTCAAGGCCCACTGAATCCTTACAGCACAGGGATGCTGTGGGTGGATGTTTAGAAAGTGTGTGAGGGCACTAAGGTGTGCCTATTCTGCATGTTTACCTGCGCTTAACACAGAGCATATGAAAGCAAAAACTGTACCTTTGTGTGCTGATAACAAACGTGACTGGTCCTTAATATGGTCAAAGGGTCTGAACCTAACAGTGACTCCTTCATTCTGGCATAGAATCATAAATACCTGCAGTAATTTTAAGAAATAGAGCTGAATAATTTGTGTCTACTGTGCGAGATTCTTACCTACTCCTGTTACTCCTGGGAATGTACTTTCTCATGCATGTTCCTGGAATGAAGAATATTAAGAAAACACTAAATATACCTCTGTAGATACGTTTCTGTTTGAAATAGACACAGTTTGATGGAAGAGGAATAACCAGGCAGTAGGTTTCAGGCAGAATGTTTGGAAATGGAGGCTGCTGCTTTCATGTGCTGTCCAGGGAGGTGCTTTTGATGGATGCCTTAGTATGTTTGAGGAGATCGGGAGAGGTGTCTCCGAAGAACAGTGTTTTTAAGATGCAGGTTTTGACAAATGTTCCCAGGGCAACTAGGAAGTGGTAGGCAATCTTTTCTTTGGTGTGCATCCTCTCCACTGTTATTGGGGGACAAAAAAAAAAAAAAAAGGAAGAGACCAAAGGTTTTCTCAGCATCACCTGACACAAGAAAATTACAGGGTGGCCATGCATGTCCAAGACCCTCTGCTAATCTGTTGGGCATGACCAAAAATGCTGGAGTCAGGTTAGGAAAGCAGGAAGCAGAGAGAGAGAGAGAGAAGAACTGAAGGGGTAGAAAATGTGCTTACACCAGACTCTGGTGCACAGGAAGATTTGCTGAGAGTTCCCATCCTCCTACCTTGCCATAGGCAGAATAGAAGCCTGAGGATTTCAGGGAACACAAATCTGGGAGCAAGCTGCTTTGTTAAACATAAATGATGTAATGAGTTATAATTTAATCATGCAACTAAATGGGGAGAAGACTGAGACCAAAATAGGACTGATAGCGATGTCTGCCCACGTCTGGCAAAACAGCGAGAGAATACAGAATACTGGAGAAGTGCATACAGTGCTGTCACCCAGGATCTTGGCCACGAGAGGCAGCAATTAGCTGTGACCCATGGTAAACCTGACAAAGGCAGCCAAAACTGTAACCTTTTCATCTGACTTGAAGTCAGAGAAAGCTGGATTGACTAGTGGAAAACAATAACTCCTCAAGACTGAAAGTGAATGAAGGAGGGCATCTACCATACTGAATATCACTCTGTAGGAACAGATTGGGTGTCTGGGAGCATTTCTGCCACAAAAGGGTCACTGTAAACAAAAAACTAATTTCTGGTTATGGAAAGAATGTAAGCATTCCTTTCTCCCATCTCCAAAGCACATGAGCTACCTGTACAAGATTTTAAAAGACAATATAATATACTTAATGTATGCTTTTTTCCTTCTATTTTTTTAATTTTAAATTTGTGGTGCATGAAATGGAAAAAGAATACCTCTGGCTATTCTGACTACCTTTTCCACCCAAAGTTGTAGTCAGGGACAGGCTTACCTCCCAAGATGAAATCAGAGGATTCTCCAAACCCTCCTCCAGCACTGGGAACATATATATAGGTAATTTTCCAGCTATATTGTATCTGGAACAACATTTACCACTGAAAGATGGTTGCCAGTGGTCTGTACATTAAATAGCTTTGTCTTTTTCTCCCCCAACCCAAATGGTATAAACTGAAAATATGAAATTAACAGATTTACTGCTCGTGGGATTAACTTCCAAGGAAAGTTGCACGAGACTTGAGCCACATGAGAGCACATGACAAGCATTTCTTCTAAGTGACGCGATAGGCAGCTCTAGCATGCTTTCTATGCATTTCTATCCAAAAAGTCCCCTGGAATGTGCTCCAGCATGGTGGTATTACCTCTAATTATCTGAAACAGGGACAAAAACTGAGATTACAACTTGTTTGTCCAAAATCAGGCATCAGTCTAAACAAAAGACACAACTACGACTGGCTAGGAACATGTACTGGCTGACAGTTTATTTATTCATGTCATAGCTGTGTTTGCCTCACACATTACTGCCACTAAAGAAAATGACTTTGGATGAGGGGCCGTGTTTGTAAGACCTGCATTTGTGCAGAACAACACAATAACAGAGCATGAAAGAACAGAAAAGGAGGCCAGTGATGCATACCTTTTCCTGGCTCGCTCCCTTCTGTAAGACTGGCTTGTTCTTGGAATAATGTGTAATCCTATTAACTGTGAGGTTATTCAGAAGTGAAGCACAAGAAGCCAGCTTATTGTATAATGCATAAATTGTGTTCCTATAGCTTTAACATCCCAATGCTATCTTCCTTGGCTTGTAAGTGACCAAGAAAATTAAATTATTTTCATTCTAGTTCTCATTTGTCTAAAATAAGTATCAATGTTGATGATACAAAACAAAATTAAGGCTAATTTTTAATTATTTAAAAACTGCTTACTACCTTTCCTAGTTTCCAGGGGCAATGTTTTTACAGAGTGGGCAAAAGTAAAAGTGAACAGGATTTACTGGAACGGGAATGCAAATGAAAGAACTTATGCCACACGGAAGGTGAGAAGCTCACTGCCAGCTCATAGGCTTAAGAATGAGAACCACCTACTTAAAAGCTTAAGTTATTAGGGTCCAGACAGGCAGATGAA